CACAGCTCACTGCAACCTCCACCTCCTGGGCTCAGGTGATCCTCCTACCTCAGCCTCCCAAGTAGCTGGGACTACAGGTGTGTGCCACGAATACTTGGCTAATTTTTTCTACGTTTTGTAGCGATGGCATCTCACTATATTGTCCAGCTGTTTTCAGACTCCTGGGCTCAAACAATCCTTCCTCCTTGGCCTTCCAAAGTGTTAGGATTACAGGTGTGAGCCACCGTGCCCAGCCTTTGATACACTTCTTGATTGAAGGAAGAGAGCCAACTTTTACTGAGTACCTATTATGTGCCCGGTGCTTGCATGCATGCCATTATTTTGGAGGCAGTATAGCAGAGTGCTCACGGACAAGAACTCCAGTATCAGAAAGACCTGGACTTAAATCTCAGTTCTCCCACTTACAGTACTAGCTGTGGAAAGTTCAGTTGTTACTTAACTTTTCTGAGCCTCAGTTTTCTCATCTGTAAAGTGGAAATAATAATAAATCACCTCATCAGGTTGTTATGAAGATTAAATGAGGTGATGTAGATAAAGCACACAGTAAACAAGCTATTATTATTCTAGTTATTAGTAGCCACAAGATACAGGACATTGTTATACAGGAAGTTTAAATCATGAAAAGGAAAAGTTCCAGAACATATAAGCCTGAATATAGCACCTCCTCAAATAGTCTTTAAATCATTGAAAATGCTATTGCCCATGGTGGCTCACACCTGTAATCCCAGCACTTTGGGAGGCCGAGGCGAAAGGATCACTTGAGGCCAGGAATTGGAGACTAGTCTGGGCAATATAGTGAGACCCTGCCTCTACCAAAAATTAAAAAATTAGCCAGGTGCCATGGTGCACATCTGTAGTCCTAGCTACTCGGGAGGCTGAGGTGGAAAGATCGCTTGAGCCTGGGAAGTCAAGGCTTCAGGGAGCCGTGATCATACCACTGCAGCCTGAGAGACAGAGCAAGACCCTGTCTCTAAAAGAAAACTAGAAAGTGCCACAGTCTGAGTTGTTGTGGGAAGTCAGGGACCCTGAACGGAGGGACTGGCTGGAGCCACAGCAGAGGAACATGAATTGTGAAGATTTCATGGACATTGATCAGTTCCCAAATAATATTTTTATAATTTCGTATGCCTGTCTTTACTTTAATCTCTTAATCCTGTTATCTTCGTAAGCTGAGGATGTACGTCACCTCAGGACCACTGTGATAATTGTGCTAACTGTACAAATTGATTGTAAAACGTGTGTTTGAACGATATGAAATCAGTGCACCTTGAAAAAGAACAAAATAACAGCAATTTTTAGGGAACAAGGGACGACAACCCTAAGGTCTGACTGCCTGCAGGGTTGGGAAAAAGAGCCATATTTTTCTTCTTGCAGAGCCTATAAATGGACTTGCAAGTAGGAGAGATGTCGCTAAATTCTTTTCCTAGCAAGGAATATTAATATTAATACCCTGGGAAAGGAACGCATTCCTGGGGAGAGGTCTATAAACGACCCCTCTGGGAATGTCTGTCTTGTGTGGTTGAGATAAGGAGTGAGATACGCCCTGGTCTCCTGCAGTGCCCTCAGGCTTACTAGGGTGGGGAAACTCCACCCTGGTACATTTGTGGTCAGACCGGTTCTCTGCTCTGGAATCCCGTTTTCTGTTGTTTAAGATGTTTATCAAGACAATACATGCACCGCTGAACATAGACCCTTATCAGCAGTTCTGCTTTTGCCCTTTGCCTTGGGATCTTTGTTGGACCCTTATCAGTAGTTCTGCTTTTGCCCTTTGCCTTGGGATCTTTGTTGGACCCTTATCAGTAGTTCTGCTTTGCCTTTTGTCCTGTTCCCTCAGAAGCATGTGATCTTTGTTCTGCTTTTTGCCCTTCGAAGCATGTGATCTTTGTACCTACTCTCTGTTCTTACACCCCTCCCCCTTTTGAAACCCTTAATTAAAAACTTGCTGGTTTGAGGCTCAGGTGGGCATCATGGTCCTACCAACATGTGATGTCACCCCCAGCGGCCCAGCTGTAAATTTCCTCTCTTTGTACTCTTTCTCTTTATTTCTCAGCCGGCCGACACTTATGGAAAATAGAACCTCCATTGAAATATTGGGGGTGGGTTTGAAAGGACACAAAGATAGATGTGTACCTGCCCCCCACCTGCTACACCCTTGTTCTACTCTCTAATCTTTGCACATACCAGAGATTTCGTAAGTTCTGTGAGTACCTGGTTTTCTGCACGTACCAGAGATTTTGTTTTGCACATACCAGAGATTTTGTAAGTT